ACCAAGGAGGTCGACAGCAGCCGCAGGGCGAACAGAGGGGAGCAGGGGGGAGGGGGAACACCCCTCGAAGGAAGGGGTGCGGGGGTCGCCACGAGAGGTACCTACAGCTACAATACTCTTCTCAGCTGCAAGTAGTTTCTCTCTAGGGCGGTAATGGTGAGCTCAGTGGGACAGCGAGCTAGGAAGTGGTCCCTGACTGTACGCAGAGTGTCAGGGAGGCGGGTGACTAGGTGGTAGAGAGTGAGCCAGAGCGGGGGAGGGTTGGAGGCAAGAAACTCAGCGGGCATGGCGGCACGGAAGCGGGCATCACTAGTGCGGAGGTGAGTGATGAGGTCAGCGACTGTCTGGAAGGCGGACAGGTCGGGGAACAGGTAGGGAAGCGAGAGGCGGCCTAGTGCAGCTGAGGCCGGGGAGGAGTAGCGCGCAACTACAAGCAGTGTACAGGGCCTGCGCAGTCTGATGCTGGCCAAAGTGCTCGCGCTCGTCGTTTTGGCAGGGGAGTTGCGAATAGCAAAGCGGGCGTGGGCATCGCGAGTCTGCCACTATGAGCGAGCAGTAGCAGCAGCAGTAGTAGCAGGAGGAGGGACTGTGCCTAGTGCGTGATCGTACAGCGAGATATCCTCTCTGGCAGTGAGCTGGAGGAACAGGTGCAGATCATCGAGCCAGGTCTCAAACTTAATTGGGCGGCCCTCAGTATCGAACGAGAGAACTGGAGGGCTAGCCATAGCTGAAGTAGCAGTAGCAGAAGTAGCAGTAGCAGTGGCAGTAGCAGCAGGCAAGCAGCGGGTAGTAGTAGCAGTAGCAGTAGCAGTAGTGGTGCTGCTGCTCAGGTAAGGAGGGCGCGGCCCGACTAGGACGGCGCGGCTCGGCTAGGGCGGCGCGGCTCGGCTAGGGCGGCGCGGCTCGGCTGGGGCGGCGCGGCTCGGCTGGGTCGCGCGGTTCAGCTCGGGTCGCGCGGTGCAGCTGGGGTCGCGCTGTCCGGCTCGGCCGTAGAGGGGGCGAGCGCGGGAGGGGCCGTTCGGGAGGCCGGTCGGGGCTAGCGCGGGGCCATTTGGGGGCCGTAGGAGGCTAGCGCGGGGCCTTAAGGGGCTGTGGGAGGCTAGCGCGGGGCCTGAAGGGGCCGTGGGAGGCTAGCGCGGGGCCTTACGGGGCCGTGGGAAGGTTAGCGCGGGGGGCCGCACGGGGCCGTTCGAGGCTAGCGCGGGGCCAATCGGGGCCGTAGGAGGCCAGCGCGGGGCCGTAGGTGGGCCGTGGGAGGCTAGCGCGGGGCTACACGGGGCCGTTCGGGGGCTAGCGCGGGAGCCATAGGGGGGCCGTAAGAGGCTAGCGCGGGGCCGACGCGGGGCCTTAAGGGGCTAGTGCGGGGTCTTAAGACGGGGCCGTGAGAGGCCGTAAGGGGCGACGCGAGGGGCCGTGAGGGCCTGAAGGGGCGACGCTAGGAACGAGGCGCATGAGGGCGCGAGGAAAAGGCGGCGTACGAGGGCGCGGCTAGCGAAAACGGTGGGCCCTAACGTTCCGGTCCTAGGTGGAACCTAGGCTCGTAATACCATGTCAGAATGAGAAACAGGAATGTGTGTGACTAGCAAGAACAACAGTACAAATATGAAACCCTAAACTGGTGTACCCCCTATGGTGTGAACCCCCACAGCCTAGAACCACACAAACATATAATGTTTGACACCTGCTGGAGAATGGGCCTTGGGAAATAATGGTGCTGCCTGAGGGAAAGAAAGCGGTACAATGCAAGTGGGTGCTAAGGATCAAGACTGACGACAAGGGGCAGGTCACCATCTACAAGAATAGGTTGGTGGCTAAGGGGGTTTATGCAGAAGGAGAAGCGGGACTTCAATGAGATCTTTGCTCCCACTGCCAAACCCCCTACCCTTCGTGTCTTGTTGGCAGATGCAGCCGTTAGTGGGAAGTTCATTATCCAGATGGACATATCAACGGCATTCCTCAACGGGATTTTAGAGGAGGAGGTGTCCATGATGCAGCCACCTGGGTATGAGGATGGTACGGGCAGGGTGTGCAAGCTGAAAAAGTCCATCCACGGCTCGAAGCAGGCGCAACGCTGCTGGTACCAGAAGTTGGCAGCTGTTTTAGAGGAGATGGGATTCAGGACCAGCAGCTGTGATGAGAGCCTCTTTCTCAAGGGGGGGGGGGGAGAAGCTGGTGCTGTTTCTGGTCTATGTGGACGACATTTTTCTCTTTAGCAGCAGCATGAAGGAGATCCAGAAGGTGCAGCAGCAGCTGATGGAGAACTTCAACTGCAAGAACCTTGGGGAGGTACGTGGAGAGGGATCTGGATCACAGGTGGTTGAAGCTGCACCAGGAGAAGTTCATCAAGGAGCTTGGGGAGAAGTACGGAATTGAGAATGAGCGCAAGGTTGCAACTCCCGTGCCAGCAGAATTCAAGCTTGTGAAAGCTGCAGAGGATGAAGGGGTTGAAGCCGAGGAGCAGCAGCAATTTCAGTCCTTGGTGGGCAGCCTCTTGTATGCAGCAGTTCACACGAGGCCCGACATCTCTTTTTCGGTTGGGCAGCTGGCTAGGGTGGTGCAGAATCAATCAGAGGAGCAGGTGGATGCAGCTGAGCGTGTGGTGAAGTATCTGAACTCTCACCCAAGCATTGGAGTTCAATACTCTGCATCTGCGCAAGTGAAGCAGAAAGGGGTTGAGGTGCTGAAAGAGAAGGGGGAGAGGCTTGGAGAAGGCAAGCTTTTTCTCACTTGCTTTACCGATGCTACGTGGGCCTCTGAGGAGGATTCCTCATCAGTGGAAGGATACATCTGCGTAGTTGGAGGAGGACCTGTTAGTTGGAGGTCAAAGAAACAGACGGAGACAGCACTCTCTTCTGTGGAATTGGAGTACGTGGCGATGTTCCATGGGGTGAAGGAGGTGATTTGGCTGAGGAGGCTGTTAGAGGAGATTGGCCAGGAGCAAAAGGTTGCTTCGCCTCTGTTTTGTGATAGCAAGGGAGCTCTTGGGATGGCCAGGAACGCTGTGCTTCATGGGCTGAACAAGCACATGCGTATCAAGTGGCACTGGTTGTGTAAGGAGGTGAAGAGGGGGACGGTGAATCCTATCTACATCAAGACTTACCAGCAGTCAGCAGACTTCCTCACTAAGAGGCTTGCAGATGAGCCTCATTGGCTTTGTGTGCGCATGAGTGTAATGAGCATGAACTAGTATGGAATGATGGGGATGCAGCCGGCAGGCTGAGGGGGAGTGTGTTGGATGCAAATTACATTGCACGACATCCTGCCGTCTGTTTGTACGAGTATGCATGTGCGAATGCATTTGGGTATGAATGGAATGTTCGTGTGTTTGTTTGCTTTCGCAATTTTCGCTTGAAGCATTTGCACGTACTCGCGCATTGTGCGCTTCGGCATAACATTGTACGCGCTATGAACAGTACAAGCAGAAAGGACGAGCTTGCAAAGGAACCCAAGATGGAAGCTTTGCGGTTCGGCTTACTTGATTGCGCAGATTCAGTTCTATCCAACTCGAAATTGTACTGTTTTGTTTGGTTGACTATAGTGTAGCAGGGCAGGCACTATACGGGTACAATTTAGGTGAAGGTTGGATGTTTTTTGTCTGTATCTGCATGCTACAGGGCCAGGGGAAACCAGCGGAACCAGCATTTGGCTGGTTGGGCAAAGACATAACAGGTTCTGTTTTTAGGACCTGAACCTGGTTGTTGTTTTCCCAGGTTGGAAAAACAGAACCAGAGGTTGTTTACCAACCTACCACCTGCTGTTTTGTCCAGTCAGGTTGGTTCTGTTGCTTGGAAAATTTTGGGATCATCCTTGGTTGTTCCCAGGTTCATTCCCAAGGTCTTTGCTAGCTAGAACTATTTATTCTTTCTCTCTTTGTACCTGGATATAGTGAAATTGATTCAAGCGAATTCCTTCCTTGCTGGAATTTCCTTTCTACGCGGTGCGACGGCGGAATGCTACCCGAGTCAACGCTAGTACGCTAGCATTCCAACGCTAGGCTAACGCTGTCCGAGCCATAACTTTTCGCGACGCAATTTGGCTTATTTTAAAGCTCTTAGAGTGAGCTTCGATATAGGAAATTCTCAGCTTAATCCGATCGACGGTCTGCACGATACGCTGCGCGACGCTCAAGGTACTCTTGCTGTTTTGACTAAGTCCCTCTTGATCCCTCTCTCTACAAACTCGGACCCGAGGATAGGGGCTGGTCTTGTATCAGGCACCCAAGGACCCTTGGAGGTGACCCCGAGGAGAGGTTTTAAGTTTGATAAAGTCTTAATAGCTTGAGTTTATTAGGCCCTTACACCAACAAGCTGGAATCAGAGCTATGTTATAGTGATCCTCCTTATAGGTAGCTATGACGGGCAACACCTCGGCGGTAGCTGGTGAATCTTCAGCCCAAGATCGTAGCGGCAGCCAAGATTCTGGTGTTTCTGCGCCAAGGGGAGCGCGAACAAGCCAGGGCTCGCTGATCAAGGAGGTGCTGAAAAACTTCACCGTCGAGAAGTTCAATGGTGAATGCTATGATGATTGGGCCTGGAAAATGCAACTTTATTTCCGTCAGATCGGTTTGCTGAAACTAATGATTGGGGAGGAGCCTAGACCGAGTGACCCCGCCCTTCAGGAAGATTGGGACGAGCGCGCCTCGGCTGGCTACTACTTGATGTCGCAGAGTTTGGAGCTGAACCAGCGTCACCACGTCATGCACCTGCTGCCGGAGGTTGAGTGCGGTCCGAAGGCATGGACCGTGTTGAAGGAGCTGCACGCCCCGACCTCCGTTGTTGCAACATTGATGCTGGAGAGGGAGCTGTCCGCGTTGCGCCTGAGCGAGGGAGAGCCGGTGCAACCTGTCCTGGACAAATTGCGCGACCTCTACGCGAAGTTGGCGACCGCGGGAATCTCCTACCCGGAGCAGACCAAGTGCCTGAAGATGCTCTCGCTGCTGCCGGAATCGTGGCTTCAATTTACGAGCGGATTGAGCCTGCCGCAGAACCAGAGCTCGTGGACACTCGAGTGGGTGTGGACAAAGATTTTAGAGGACTTCCGTCGCCGTCAACTGAGGGGTGGAGACGACGGCAGCAGCGGCTACGGGATGCAAGGGAGCCGACGTGCCAAAGGACGTGGCTTCGGTGGTGCTGGACGCGGTGCAAAGAAAGACGACGACTCCAACGACCAACAAGGAGGTACCGGTTGGGGTCGCGGTGCGAAATCTGGACGTGGGGGCAAGTCGGGTGCTGGTGGCAAAATGAAAGGGAGTTGCTGGTATTGTGAGAAGGAGGGGCACCCCTGGGTTATGTGCTATAAGAAACCCGATGGATGGACCCCCCAGAATCGTCACCAGGATGGCGGCGCGCGAAGGAACCAGAAAAATGGCGCCAACATGGTCACCGATTCGTCCGACAACAACCCGAAGAGCAACGGCGGTGCGGAAAACAAGAAGGAGCGCACTGCTGGCCAGTTCTTCCATATTAGAGAGCAGGGAGAGCAGGGGAAGCAAGAAGACGCCTCTGCCAAGGTTCGAGCAGAGCTGCACCCCCTGGATTATTGGGTGTTGGACACGGGCGCTGCTTGGACGATGACGCTGCGAAAAGACCTATTGGACCACGTACAAGCTGCACCGATCAAGGAGGTGTGCTCCGCCACTGGACACGCGCTGAAGGTGGCTGGTGCGGGACGAGCTGCGTTTAAGAGAGCGGATGGCAAGCCGGTGGTGCTGCACGACGTTCTCCTTGTTCCTAAACTCAAGGCCAACCTTATCTCCCTCCGTAAGCTTGGCAAGGCTGGGGTGAGCACTTGCACGGATGGGGCACGCACTTACAAGGGGCAGCTGGGCAATCGAG